ACGGATTTGGAATATTCGCCGCTTATCGATATTATGAAAAAAGTTTACGTATGGTATGTTTTTGTTTTTCAAAGAAAATTTTCATAAAGCTGATTTTAATAAATAATAAGTTGAATTCTTTTGTTTTGTAAAATAATTTATTGAAACCATTGAGTTAGATAATCTAGGTTAAATGATGTTTGACATTGATGTGATACTAATTCATCTCTGATTTGGAATTAAAAAAAAGTTAGTAGACAATAAATTTATGTTCTTAGCATTATTTTGTGGTAGATTTTTCATTTGTTTAAAGGATCAAAAATATCAACAAAATGAATGAATGAATATCGAACTGATAGATTCATGAGAAAAAGAATCTCAAGGATAATCTTTTATTATTGATTGTCATCAGTGTTATTATCAATATTATTTATGTCATACTTAATGTAATTATATTGTATCATTGATTTATATTTATTTTATAATTCTATGAATTTTTAGATATTCGCTGTCATATTTTCCTTCAAATTGGCTAAACAAATAGAATCAAAAAAGTCTTTAACCACACAAAAAATCTATTTTTCTTCTTTTGAAAGAATTCTATAAATAAATGTTAAAGATAATTTCTGTTTGATTCAATAGAAAAATTAGTTATATATAGAAGATAAATTTCAATCTGTTATACTTATTAAATAGAATAAATATAGATGAAACTATTTTTAAATATAATTAAAATAATCAACATGATTTATAGAAAGGGTAAGTGTGGGTGTTGATACTAGAGCACGAGGTTAAAGAAAGTCATCACTATCATTCATAATCTACATTATAAAATTAAAACATTATATTATATTATGTTTTTTGTTTTATTCTTGAAAAACCATAAAAAGCTTCATACCAAAAGTTTTTGAATATGATAAATAACTTTACCGTTTTTCATGTTGTCGAACATATATATCATTTTTCGATCGTTAATATTTATCTTTTAGTTTGTGCGATACAGAATACACTTATGAATAGATATAGCATAAGATGTACGAAACGTATGCTCCAGAAAGCAAATGATATTACAAGAAAAAAACAATGCTTGTTATTGATTTGTGTTAGAAGATATAATCAATGTTGGAACTTTTTTAGTATGATTGAAACTTAGTTTTTAAATCAATAAGCTATTCTCTCTTATAAAATAAGGATTCATCAATATATTTTATTAAAATGTATACAAAGAGATTCAAAATTTCATGTCACTTGATAATCGTACAATATAAACAAAATAAAATTATATTATCGGATTACATAGTAATTTTACGTCTTATACAATCTACGAACGGGATGACACCATTTTTATGCATTTAAGATTAATCTCTTTTTTAAAAAAATATTTTAATGATGTCTCCTATATGCAAAATTCATAGGTTACATCAAAATGCCATGTTTGACCGGATTATTTGATTTATCTACGCTGTAATATTTGAAAAATACAATATGTTCCGATTTTGGTGCCACAACCAGATAAGGAGAAAAAGGAAAAAAAACAATCATACTGTAACATATCTTTCCCTTCAGTGTCCTGTTAATTGATAATATTTATTGATACGTAAGTTTATTTACAAATCTAATTTATGTTATATCTGATCATTGAAATAATCTACCGATTTTATAAAAATCTACTTTATCAAATATGTGATTTATTTAATTGATGATTCTTAGGGGTGGCCTATTTATATTTACGCAAATTTATTAAATCCGAAAATAAATTTTGAAAAATTTAAATTTAATAAATGTAAATTTTTGCTACAACAAAATTTATACATAAAATAAGCTTAAATTTTCGAAATTTACATTTAAAATAAATATAAATTAAATTAGAGTTTTTTGTTTTGTCTCTAAGAATAACAGCAAAATTTCATATTAAATGTATGTTATACCAAGATGTTTATGGACATTTTAGTATCACATGTAAATAATAGGAACATAGCAATTCTTTGTTTAAAATCTTTTACTGAGATAATCTGATTATCGAGTGTAACATAAGTTGCTTTCTTATTATTTATATAGTTTCTTTTGAGCTGATTTATTTTGACAAAAGATGATACAACACAAATACACAAAACTACGTGATTGAAAACATGTTTTTTTTTGTTTATGGTTCAGTTCGGATTTACATATCATATATCATAATCACGTCGTAGCATCGAAAAACGTAAAGTAGATGGCGATGGAGTTGAACGGTTTTTTCTTTGAACATAACCAGCTACTGAAAATGCACTCTCACTAGCTACTGAAGTGATGAGCATCATACAATAAATCCGAACTAAATTGGCTAATTGTGGTAGAATTTGTTCGTTTGTTTTCCAAAAATATTTGAATTCTGTTTTCTTATCGATCGATGATATATAATATCCAATTTCTTGTTGGATTGTAAACGAATACGTGGTCGAATTAGATGATGAATGTTGACATGCAGAAGCTTCACAGTGAGCCAAAAAAGATTCAATTGCTACTAATGGTTTTTTAACATCATTTGACAAAGACGATGTAATCGAAGTTAAGTTGGATACATCATTTAATTTTGATTTTTCGTTTTTGGATTTGAGAACAATCATTTTTTTTTGCTGTTCTGATGAATTGTTCATGATCACATAAATGATAACACGTTGTAGGATTTAAAAATGAAGCAATCTAGAAGAATACAATGAGAAATATTTTTTCATGAATGTTTACTCACGGTCATTGCTTTCTCTGCATCCTTATATATGATTTGTTCGCAATGATCTTCATATTTTTTTAACAAATGTTGTTTTAAAAAATTTACCATTGGTTCATCAGATTTATATGTTGATAAAAAATGTTTTAAACCCATCATAACTATCTTGCCAACTGCAAGAGTTTGATATGAACGACCTGATAATAAACGTGTTGATTCTTCAAAAGGTTGAAGAACATATTCTACTGCAGTCAAGCAACTCCAGTCTGAATGACTGAAAGCTAATTTAGATAATTTCAAACGTTGTTCCGACTTTAAACCAGCAATCTTATCTGGTGTATGTGTTATATCATTTACAATTGAACGTAATTTAATAAATCGACTCAACATTTTGTAAGTAGAAGACCAGCGAATAACAAAATCAATAACTGGATCATTATATTTAACGGTTTTAACATTAGTATTTAGTGAATGTTGGTTAATTTCTTGTTGTTTTAAATGAATTCGACCACGAACGTATCCATCCAGGATACTAGAACGATGTACCATGGATACTAAACGTCGTGTTCGTTTCAAAAGAAGATAAATAAATTCCTTTGAATTTGGAAATACAACAGATTGTTCCAGGTCTCCTTGATGAATATCATATTGTGGTTCTTGAGGATGTGGGTGTGGGTGTGGGTGTGGGTGTGGGGTGTGGGTATGGGTGTGGGTGTAGGGTGTGGGTCTGGGTATGGGGTGTGGGTGTGGGTGGGTGGCCGTGGGTGTGGGTGTGGGTGCGGGTGTGGGAGGGGGTGTGGGGCGGGGGCGGCGGGGAGAAGAC